AAAACACTTATACAAGAAAAACATAATAATAAACTAAACAACATATATATATATATATATATATATATATATATATATATATATATATGAATAAAAATACAAGAGGAAAAACTATTCTTGCAGATGCAAATGTCCCTCAAAAGTCCTAAAGGCGTCAGCTAAGAATAGTTTTATTCTTGCTTTTTATTCATTTAGTTCCTTTATAGATACACTCTATCTCTCTCTCTCTCTCTCTCTCTCTCTCTCACACACACACACACACACACACACACACACACACACACACACACACACATATATATATATATATATATATATATATACCGGGTGTAACAGCAAAATTGCCCAATTGTTAGATTAAGTTCTGAAACGTTGCATCTTACAAATGATTAAAGATATCTTACTGGAATTCTCCGATGTTTTTATAGCACTATTAGACTGTACTTTGAGCAATAAAAATGTATAATTTCTCTCTAAGATGTGATGATGTCAAGATGGCTAAACGTCTTATCTGAAAATCTGGATAAAATAAACTCATTTAGTTTAGTGGATTTTAGATATTAAACATTTTGTGGAATGGATAATTATGCTGCTACACGATTTGAACAACATTGGCGTTAAATCCAGGTATATATATAGGTGTCCGTGTGTGTGTGCGTGTGCGCGCGCGCGCGAGCGTGTGTGTATGTGTGTGTGTGTGTGTGTGTGTGTCTATGTCTGTGTGCCGGTGCGTGTGCACGCACTCACACGGGAAGGACATACATAAAGTAATGTCGGTTATTTATTTCTTCAACAGATACAGGTAACATAATATACCTATCGGAATCGATTAGGTTTACAGCTGCAACCATATAGTCGGAACCATTGGTTATACATCTACGTGTCAAACCCCATTTTATGCATGGCCGTAACTCAGTGTCATCGCTGCTGAAGCTAAATACCCATCGTCTATGTTGTCCTCATATACATTCTTTGGTTTCCATAAATGCTCAACAAGCGTCGATGAATATCGATAGTTGCAAAATTTCCGCAAAGAGAATCAGTGAAATACACCAGCTTGATACGTTATTCAAATCAGACGTCATTTTTCCGAATACGTTCTCTAACAAGGGAAAAGTAAATAGCAGCTCTTGGTGGGAGAGGTCAACATCGACTGTCATCTAACCAATATCGGACTCTGATGTCGAAGGTCATCGTCATAAATGAGAAGACATTACTTTTTAACACACACACACACACACACACACACATATATATATATATATATATATATATGTGTATGTATATGTGTGTGTGTGTGTGTATATAAATATAAATAAATATATATATGTATAATTATTTATATATTATATGCATTATACTTATTAGAAAAGCGCTCAATATCAGAGATAGAGCTAACATATTTGGTTGGATAGATGTTGGATACATCTATCCAACCATATATATATATATATATATATATATATATATATATATATATATATATATATATATATATATCACTATAAATTTATAAAGATATTGATAAATAGACACAGATATGAACAGTGTGATAGATATATTTGAACAGATTGAGCTAGATAGATAGATAGATATGAACATACTGCTGTAATAGATAGTGTGCCCTTGATGGGGCCAGAAATAAAGACACAAAGAGAAGAATTGAGTTAACAAATACAGTGTAACCCGGATATAAGAGACCCGGATATAAGAGAAACCCGGATATAAGAGAGATTTTCTCTGGTCCCAAATTAGAGCCTGTGTTAATGTATATAAAATAGACCAAACCCGGATATAAGAGAAACCCGGATATAAGGGACATCTTCTCCGGTCCCGACAACTCTCTTATATCCGGGTTACACTGTATATTAACAGCAAAACAGTAATACAATCACATACAAACGAGCAAGAATGTTAAGTCCGATTGTCAGAGCTGACTTCTGGAAACTGCACTCTCTAAAAAGTAGTACCTGCTCTTATTTGTAACTGGGAGAGTCCATCTGTGCATGGGTAAATTACCCTAACAGATAGATAGATAGATAGATAGATTGAGATTGCCATATAGATCAAGGTGTTGTATTTTTTTCAGTATCGTTCTCATCCCATTTAAAGTGCATGTGTGCATACCTGCTTTAACACGTGGAAATCAGTGATATCTGTGCGCATTCAATATCCTTTTTAGAAGACGTTACAAGTTAATATGAATGTATTCTTGTTGTCCAGTTGTTCTGCCACGTGCCTGTCCTTTGTGTCAGTATTTGTAGAAATGTTCGCATGTGTATGCGGAGGTGTCCCAACGATTAACAGCACGGCCAATGGAAACAACCAGCCTCCTTCCATTCACGCTGCGGTATTTCACACGAAATCTTTGAATACATATCTTCTAATAGGTCAACTCAGTTACTGCTTCCGTCCTGCCTACGCCTTGTGTACCGTAACCACATGCAGCCTGTCATCGAAATGAGATTAAAACCACCAAGTAATCCCAGTGAAACAATCAGTATTGCTATATCAAAGTTCGCCTTGATCATTTACCATCTTTTAAGTCTGGCTCAAGACCATAATCTTATAGCATTCGCTGAGTACCGGATTCACTCCCAATGTTCATCTGGCCTTATTAATCAACCCGAACAAAAAAACAAAAAATATGTGATATCAATCCTTCTGCAGAATATCCGAAATCAAGTCTGTTTATTCTTCAATACATATATAAAATACATGTGACCGATATATGTTTTTGTTAAACGTTACCGATGTCACTTTCTGCGTTTTAATTTATTGGATAGAATTTCAAAGAAAAATATAATTTTACTTTCCCAAAAATGTGCATCTTAAAACATATTTCATTTTCTTTCTTTTAAGTTACTATTTTCACACCCCTGAAGATGACTTATGTCGGTCGAAAGATTGAACACAACATCTGAGATATCCAGGTTTTCGGGAGAATACTCGCAATTTCGAAAAAACGGCGGATAAATTCAATAGACATAGATTACCTATCTTTTTAATCTGGCCACACTGATGAGCTGTGATACAGCAAAACAGTCTGCCTGTAGATGACACATATATAGGCCCCCGAAAAAAGAAAATTTGGTCGAGCAATTTAGAGGGAAAAGCGTGAATTTGTGAACAGTGACTGCTACTGCTGAGGCAAAAGCTATTCCACTCTGAATCACTGGCATGTTTATTCCAAAATAAATACGTAAAAATTCACCTTCCTCTCTGCCGAGAGCTGATAGCTCAGTTTAATAATCTCCGAATGATGCCAAATCGGTTGGGTTTCGATCGTGGCTTGAGGCAATCGGATGTCTAGTCACACTGATAAGCTGTGACACAGCGAAACAGTCTGACTGTGCATGACATATATATCTTTTTAATTATATTAGGTTGGTGCAAAAATAATGACGTAATAATGTCGTTTTTTGACGTTAAAAAATACGTCAAAAAACGACATTATTACGTCATTATTTTTGCACCAACCTAATATATAGATATAAAAAAAGGTAAAACACTATATCCAACAGCACTACCTTGGTTTCGAGCGTGAGGTCTAATCAGGTGTCTCAGTAACATGTGTACATCAACGCATATTTTGGCGCGGATATTTTGTGTTATATATATATATATGAGGGGAGAATGCGCCAGAAATACCTCCAGCATATACCTCTCATAAATATTCCCCACAAAATCAAATTACTGTTTTAAAAATCTTAGGAAATTTGTTGTTTAAAAACAGTTATTTGACTTTGCTAACCAGACGCTTCCTCTATAGCTAAATGGTATAGCACGTCAGGCTTCGGTTTCGTGTAGGATACAGGTTCGATTCCTGTCGGAGGACACATTTTCTATGAAATTTCTTGGACAATGTAGTTAATACTGCTTATTATAAACAGAGCATTTACTTAAATATTTGTATCTATAAAAATAACGTATAAACAGAAATATATATAAATAAGAAACTACTATATATATATATATATATATATATATATATATATATTTTAATGAAAACAGACTACTTTAAGGTTCCATTTTTATTTAAATTATTTGCTCTGGATTTACATTGAGCTCTCTGGATTTTATCCTCCTTAGGTTTACCCATACGGATTACCAAGTTTTTCATAAACTATATATATATATATATATATATATATATATATATATATATATAAGGAACTACTCAAAGTTCATTGAGTTGTCAAATAGCGTCGCCAAGATAAAAAAAATAATGGTCAGAAAATATGCTTCCTTATTTCTTAGTAATATTTGGCGAAAAACGGGCGACAACTTAAGAGATCAACTATAGTTCCTTGCACATGAGTACATGGACGTGTGTGTGAATGCATGACTCTAAGCATCTATATGCGTATCTTCTTGCGTACTACTGTCTCTATTTGTATGTGCAGGTGATTGTATGTATGTATATGTGTTTTCTGTATGTGCTCAAACATCTCTGAATCTATGTTGATGTATACATCCGTTTGTATATGTATGTGCGTGTTTTCGTGTGTATAGGTGAGCGTTGTTCTTTAGACATGTAAATTGTTTTAAGTCTGTGTATATACGTGTGCTTCTTCATATACGTTTCCGTGCATGTATAGATGTCTGCGCATTTTTGTATATACGCACGCGGCTTTTGTTCCTATGTACATGTGTGTCTTTGTGTGGGCCTTCGCGTGCATATGCGAACTCTGTTTTTCTTCTCTCAAAGCCTTTTTAGATTCTACAGATTTCTACTTCTTTCCGTGGTGGCTTTGCTCAATGAAGGGAAGGGTGCCTAATGGAGACGGATGACACTGTCAGAATTCTTCAGTCCCGTCCCTACTTCCCATTCTGAAATTGTCCTTCGCATTTCGTCCCATGAGCAGTTATGATCCCTCAGGAGAAAGGGGTAAGAAACAAAATGCATATTGTGGTTGGGAGATTCAGAAATATTTCTAATAGAATGGCGGGGAGTGATATAATGTTTCTGCATGGATACTGGTGTAGGATGGAAGCGATCAAAGCTTAAACCTTTTCCGGGTAGAAAGAAAGAAAGAAAGAAAGAAAGAAAGAAAGAAAGAAAGAAAGAAAGAAAGAATGAAAAAGAAAGAAAGAAAGAAAAAGAAGGAAGGAATTAAAGAAAGAAAGAAAGAAAGAAAGAAAGAAAGAAAAGGAAAGGAATTAAAAGAAATAAAAGGAAAAAAAAAAAGGAAGAAAGAAAGAAAGAATGAAAAGAAAAAAGAAAGAAAGAAAAGGAAGGAATTAAAGAAATAAAAGGAAAAGAAAAAAGGAAAAAAAGAAAGAAAGAAAGAAAAAATGAAAAGAAAGAAAAAAAGAAAGAAAGAAAGAAAAGGAAAAAGAAAGAAAAAGAAAAAAGGAAGGAAAAAAGAAAGAAAATAAAAGGAAAAAAGAAAAATTAACGTAAAAAGAAAAAAAAAGAAAAAGAAAGAAAAAGGGAAGAAAAGAAAGAAAGAAAGAAAGAAAAGGAAAATTAAAGAAATTAAAGGAAATAAAAGAAAAAAGAAAGAAAAGAAAGGAAGAAAGAAATAAAAGAAAAAAGAAAGAAAGAAAAGGAAGAAATTAAAGAAAAAAAAAAAAAGAAAGAAAAAAAAAGAAAGAAAGAAAGAAAGAATGGAAGAAAGAAAGAAAAGAAAGAAAGAGAATAAGAAAATGTTAAAGGGGATCAAAAGGAATGAAAAGACGAAAAGAAAACGGAAATATTTCTGGGAAATTTGGAAGAACGATAAAATGAAAGAAAAAATAAATGAAAGACGGAAATACTTTTATATTTTAAATAAAGAAGAAGCATCAAAGAAGGAAAGAAAAAACAAAATATTTCATAGAATAATAAAAAGACACACGGTAATTCAAATATTTTTAAAATGTACTAAAAATTAGAAAGCTCTCTAATAATGTGTAGCTCTTAGCGTCGTGCGAATAGCAGCGGATCGCGACGGTCTCCTATGTGCTGATGTCATATGGCTATATATATATCCCAAACCGTTCAAGTGCTTTTCCATAGCTATATTTGTTTGGTCTGGCTACAAATAAATTAATAATTTCTGCGACCTGTCCCATATATTCTCAATGGAAGTCAAATCTGATGAGCGCAGGAGCTTATGGGATATCTGAAAGCCAGCTGAATATTCCCGTAATCAGTTTGGTATCATCCACGCACGAAGGCGAAGAGAAAGGATTACAAAAAGTCCAGAAAACAGACTTCAGTTTCAGTATTAATCCTGGTGAAGTACAGCAGAACAGAATATTATAATAAACCAGCTGCAATCTTCTAACAATAGCTTATAGTCTATCCTCGACTCTCTGCTATCCAGTCAACTTTGATCTTAAATATTTAAATTCAATGTCAGTCGTTATCTTTTGTCTTCTTAATTCCTGTTCTTTTATAGTTCTCGCTCTTTAATAATGTGTTTCTAGTTCTTATATTCTTTCGCACTCAGTAACACCCTGCATCTTAGTTGCTTTATTGCCTTCCTTAAGGTGAAATGATTAAACAGCAAATAAAAATTAAAACACTGTCACATATGTCCCCTTTAAGATTACGTGCGTATTACTTGGAGGATAGAATAGCGCTCGAAAGTGTACAATGATAACTATTTTTTTTTTTATGTTCTTTCGCACTCAGTAACATCCTGCATCTTAGTAGCTTTATTGCCTTGCTTGGGGTGAAATGATAAAAAAACAGAATCTAATATGACGAGTAAATATAGTGATTTTCCAAGCGTAGTTAAGATGTCGTACAAAGTCGAAAGTATGGGTTACCCAGTGAGGATCGGACTCACTACTCAGTCATAATTGTTTGAGCGAGACAAGCTTGCTAACCATTACACTACCTCGAGGTGCCCTAATATTGTGATTTTCCAAGCGTAGCTTAGATGTGGCACAAAGCCGAAAGTAGAGGGCACCCAGTGAGGATCGAACTCACTGCACAGTCGTAATCGTTCTAGCGAGACAAGCTTCCTAACCATTAAACCACGTCGAAGTGCCCAAAAGACGAGTAAATATATATTAAGATGATACTTCGGTCTATGGGGGCAACACCAAAAGTCGAAATAACTATATTCTGGCAACCAGTCTCTCCTCTGATCTTGCTCACACAGCTCAATGGGGAAGAACTGGTTTGTAACATTCAATGCCTCCAAAACCAAACTTGTTAAGTCGCATCCACAAAGAGCAGAGTCTGTGTTTTTCATAATTCAGTCATGATGATCGGTTCAACCATCAAAAACTTTCCTGGAACGTATAATTGCAAACATTCGGGCGAACTATATCCTTTTGATTCTATCGCCGCAGTTCCCTTTATACTGTATTGGTGAGGCGATTCCACTCAGCTACCTTCACAGAACTGGTGCATTGTAGAACGGAATCCCGAGAGGTTATTTCCCCGATCGTTACAGACTTCTTTAAGTCGAGGGTCAGCCGTTATCCTACACATCTTTATAATATGCGTCACTTTCTCCTTTTCTGTACGCCCTTACAACAACCTCATTCGATAACCTTGTGTTTAGAAGAGGGCTTTTATTGATTGAAAAAATAATTTTTAAAAAAGTAATGATGGCGATGTTGTCTGGATCAATTGAATATCAGTAACCAAAGCGTAATGTCGTACTTGTACGCTTATTTGTCGATGATTACAAAATAATATACTAGATAAGGCTGAATTGGAATGGTTCTCCGCGTACCGTGGTTTTGTATCCTTTTCATTTGCAGCGGACTCTATTCTTACCACCCCTGCAGATGGCACCAGTTTTCACGTACCACTGACGTCAGTCCAGAATTACCATATTATTCCAGGTATACCCTAGCTACTGATTGAGACAAGTTGTTACATAGGTGATAGCATTCCCAACGTTTCTGACTTCAATACACTATTTCAATCCTTGTCTGCGTCTGATGACCGCTACAGTAACTAAATGCAGGTCTTTACCATTTACGCTGAGCTTACGTCATCTGGTTGAGAACATTTCTCTATGTGAAAAAGTTCGAAATTATCCATTGTTTCTAAGATACATTTAAGTCGATATTGACTTTTTAAGAAGCTCGCAAATGAGTGCTAGTGTAGTGACATATGCATAATGTTTTATCTATTTGGTAATAAACATGTTGGGTTAGTAAGTGTTTGTATCTTATCTTTTGGGCATTCCTCATATTTTGAAAGTAATGTTTCATTGATGGATGTAGAAGGGCCAGAAAAAAAAAGAAATGAAGTAAGGGAAACTGAAGCTCACTCAATCTGTTTCCCTTTCCTCCTCTCTTCCTCTGTCTATTCCTTTCTTTCTTTAAATATCTTTTATTCTTTCTTTCTTTCTTTTCTCAGTTTATTTTATTCTTCCTTTCTCTTTCCTTTTTATTCGTCTTTCTTCTGCACCCTGCAAATGCTGTTACCGCCATAATAAACTTGACAGGGATCCAATTAATATCCCTTGTACAAATACCGCTTTTAATTAATTTCCTTGTTAAAAATAAAACACGTTATTGTTAGCTCCTGTCAAGGTTGACAAGGCGGTTAACAAAAGGAAATTTAGTTATGGGGGAGTGGTTTCTATTCTTGTTGACTCTGGCGAGTAAATGTTTTTGTTCTGTTTTTGCCTGCAGGGTTGTCATGAGGAAATCATTTACCTAAACCAAGTGTTTTGTCAACATATTTATTCTACGTCGAGCAAGATATCTGACGGAGGTGTGGTTTCTTGCCTTCACAAAAGGAATTAATACGAAACGATAAAAACCAGTCGTGACGATAATTCGGTTAAGCGCTTCCGTTGTAAATGTCGATTAATGTTATACTTCCCTGTATTACGATAAATAAAAATAAACATAGCAAGAATTAATAATCATTTTCACAAGTTTTTTTCTTCTATATGCCGTGTCCCTTCAGAACGCGGGTGATCATGGTTCTTCACAACTTCATTTTCTTTGTAGTTCTTAGTAAACTATGTCTTTTTGCTATCTGACTAATCCTTGTTCTTGCCAACCATTTAAAGCATGAACGTTAGGCAGAATGTTTGCTATTTTTCTCTGTCCCTCTGGATTTCGCTGTGTCCTTTCAGTGTCAAATTCTCCTAGCCCCCTTTCCTTATTGTGTTTCTTAGAAACTTCAACTATCTGTTAAGGATTGAAGTCCGTTTTGTTTCCACCTTCCTTAAAGCCTCGTTGTTACTCACATGTTAAGTTCATATTATTCTCCGTATCCTTCTGTAGAACCACATTTCTGTAGCTTCGACTGCCTTCTTAAGCTGTATTGGTCAGCATTCGTTGACATATAGAAGGATAGGTATTACATAACAGTCCAGTAACCTTTTTTGTTAGGAGACCTTACCCATAATAACATAATGGACTATTCCATACGCAATAAATACTGCGGCTCAAGAGGAAGCAGGGAGTTCAGTCCGAAGTCAGGCGAAGGCTGACCGGTTGAGCTCTCTACCTTCGGGCGGGAAGGAACCCGAACGAGACTACGCCGAAGGGCGGAGTCTCTTTCGGGGAGGTAAACCGACCCTGAACTCGTTTATACGGGTTCAAAGGGCATAATTTTGGCCGAGCCCACGGGCTCGGAGATCCCACGTTAAACCGGCCTTGTGCCACATGATGCCCTCGTGGCGGGGGGTGACTAAATACCGTTCAGTCTGAAGTCGGACGACCGGCTGATCGGTTGAACTCTCTGCCTTCGGGCGGGGAGGAACCCGAACGAGGCTACGCCGAAGGACGGAGTCTCTTTCGGGGAGGTAAACCGACCCTGAACTCGTTTATACGGGTTCAAAGGGCATATTTTTGGCCGAGCCCACGGGCTCGAAGATCCCACGTTAAACCGGCCTTGTGCCACATGATGCCCTCGTGGCGGGGGGTGACTAGATATCGTTCAGTCCAAAGTCGGACGACCGGCTGATCGGTTGAACTCTCTGCCTTCAGGCGGGAGGAACCCTGAGGGGCTACGCCGAAGGGTGGAGTCTCTTTCAGGGGAGGTAAATCGACCCTGAACTTGTTTATACGGGTTCAAAGGGCATATTTTTGGCCGAGCCCACGGGCTCGGAGATCCCACGTTAAACCGGCCTTGTGCCACATGATGCCCTCGTGGCGGGGGGGTGACTAGATATCGTTCAGTCCAAAGTCGGACGACCGGCTGATCGGTTGAACTCTCTGCCTTCGGGCGGGGAGGAACCCGAAGGAGGTTACGCCGAAGGGCGGAGTCTCTTTCGGGGAGGTAAATCGACCCTGAACTTGTTTATACGGGTTCAAAGGGCATATTTTTGGCCGAGCCCACGGGCTTGAAGATCCCACGTTAAACCGGCCTTGTGCCATATGATGCCCTCGTAGCGGGTGACTAAATACCGTTCAGTCTGAAGTCTGGAGTGATGTCCGTCAGGAGTCAGTCAGTCAGGACCTGGAGCATAACAACTTCTTTCTTCTCACTTCCTTTTACTCTTTTCTATAAGAGTCCCTCTAGTTTTCTTTCTGTGTCTGCTCTCAACATTGTGTCATCTGCATATCTTATGTTGTTAAGTCTGTGGCTACCAATAATGAATCCTGGTAGGACTTTTATTTTTTTCCGGGTGGCCTCACTCTATAGGTTGAATAAGCCCGGTGAGATTATACATCCTTATTGTATCCTCATTTCTAATTTTGTGCAGTTAGGGCAAATTTCCAAAAGCTAACAGATAAAATCCAGATTCAAGTATAATATTCGTCGTGAAACTCAGAGAAACTGAACTGTCTTATAGTTATCAAATAAAATGTCTGAATGCAAGAAATTTGTAACATTATGGGTATTTGTGCATAAGTCTATCGAAGAGATTACATTTAGAAATGAAAAGAAAAATGGACTCAATTTGTAACTAGTGAGAAAGAAAAAATCCGCTAACAAACGGTCTACGCGTGTTTTTGATAATATAACCTATTTCCGAAATGCAGTTTATAAACATCTGATACCTTGAAATTCAGAAGATTCACCAACGTGTGAAAATCCTCATCAGAGGGGAAATAAACAAATAAATGTCAGAGAGTTGAAAACCGTTATCACTGGGCATCAAAATGAAACATGCTATATTGATTTTATAGGGTCCACGAGCAGACATATTTAAGTATAATATTACGATAAGTTTGTATATCCCTATTTGTGGATTTTTCATCGATCATCATTAAAATAAGAAAGTTTGTTTTTGTTTGGTTTGTTTTTGTTATACTGGAACACACCTATTCTATAGTTAATAGACTCTCCCATCTATAATAAGTAGTTGTAGTAGTAGTAGTAGTAATAGTCGCCAGTCGCTCAGGGAGTTGATCAGTCAGTCGATGTCGGACATTAACTATTATAGCAAGTTCCTAACGTTTTGTACGTCGAACCTTTTTAGGACCGACTGAGTGAAATACAAGCCTCCACTGTGAAACTACTCAACAGTTTTGTTTTATGGTATACCAACACCAATGGGTAATTTAATGCCAACAAGATTTTTATTGCTGGTAATATTCTTTTTTCAGAAATGTAATGCTGGTATTTTTTTTTTTTTAATGTATAGATGGTAATATTTTTTTTCGAAAATGTATTGCTGGTAATATTTTTTTTACAAAGTATTTCTGGTATTAAAACCTATTTTTACACTTTCATAGTGCTTTGACCCCAGTTTGGCGGGGGTTAACTATTTGCCCATAGCTGAGACCCTAACAAATGCTACCACCCTGGGTCAGGGTGGACCTGGGAACACCAGCAATTAAGTGGTGGTTCCATGCTCCTCAAAATCTCCTGATCAGAGGCCTCGCTGCTGGATGTAGTTTATCGTTTTACCCAGGACGCGGATGTAGTTTACCGTCATACCCAGGACGTTAAAAATAAGAGATACGAAAACAAAGAAATGTATCAAAGCAGATGTAATGTGTTTGAGTGATATTTTCTTAGACCATGAATAGTTGAACATAAGAAATTATCTATTTGGAGGAGGCGGGAGATTTTTGTGCTAATTCCTTTCTATTAGGGAAATTACTAGCAATTAAAAACCTCTCTCTCTCTTTCTCTACAAGCAGTTAGTAAAAATTCTTATTGAAAGGACAATAAAAGCAATCAGTTCGAACTATATGTGTTGTAATATCTAACACCACGAGAAAGAACCACGCACATGATGACATCTAATTCGATTTTCAGATAAAAAAAAGAAGGGACAATCCAAATTTAGTATATTGGTCCCAAGTAAAGAAAACCATGGGAACGAACTTAACGACGCAACCGACTCGGTTAACGACCGAACTGTCACACGCTTTCGAGTCACTACCACTATCATCAGGTGTACAAAGAAATTGGTTGTAAAACCACGGACCTACAGCCATATACACAACCGATTAGGATATCGTGACACCGTCACACACCTAAGCAAGAGAACTCCAAATTCACTCGCCACCGGGGCAATTTGTTCCTGAATTAATAACAGCAGTGACTAAAAAAAATCGATATTTCGACACTAAGTTGAAATTTAGTTACAAGAACTGAAGCGGCATTTACAATAACACCATGTTTAACACGTCGACTTGAAGACTTGTCTGCTTCTATCTTGAAGTGCTTAATTGACATAAGTGAAAGTATTTTGCGTCCTAATGACATTAGTTGGATTTGGGAAAATGGTCCAGCGTCGAATAATGAATATGTACGTTTGAGTCAAATGTGTATTTTCCTGCCATTGAATCAAGTGCATACGTGTTTTCGTCCCTCGGTAGTTAACAACGGATAATTTCTCTCTCACACTATACACATATATACGGATATACATATATAGATCATCTTTTTCTACGCGCTGTGTTCTTTCAGGACCTGAACGATCACGGCTCTTCACAACTTCCTATTCGTTGTAGCGTTTAGTAATATTTGTCTTTCCACTAATCCCCATTGTTGTTTTTGCCATTGTAGTAAAAATAAGTCAAACGTTCACAAAATCAGAGAGCCACTCGTTCAAATAGTCGCAAATCAACTCCCCCCCCCGCGCAGTTGGATTGTCTTCCGTTGTGCAGTTCATTGTTTCTAAAATTATGCATTCGAAGGCAGATATGCTTATCTGTAGGCAGCACATCCCGGTTATTCCCTTTACCCCACAAACACCACACCCGGGCTATTCCATATACATTTTTTCTGTTATAAACAACGGAATAAGTCTGCTAGGGTTTTTCTTTGTGTCATGGGGCCAATGACATCGGCAGGCGGACGCCCGCTGCCTTTTTCAAGGTAAGCGGATTATCTTCTTTGCAGGCATCCATTGAAACAAACTCGCTAGGTATTTTGTTGCTGTTTTTTTTTTTTCAATCCTACTTCCTCTCAATAAGCCCTGGTTTCGAATCATATGGCCATGTAGGTACGTATTGAAACGTTCTGATGAAGATTTGAACTAAATATATAAATTCAACAAATAAGTATTCATCTCCAAAAATTTACACAGAAGATATTCTCTGGCTTTCAAACGCACGAATATTCGATGCAAGAAAGCACATACAGGTCAAACAGAGGCGGGATCAGATGATGTAACATAAGGTAATATTGTCTGTTGATTTCAATCCTATTGGGAATGACTTTTATAGGCAGAAACACACAGATGCATGATGGGATTTTTTCTTAGCCAATAAAATAGGCTGGTTTGCAGTTTTATCTCAGTCTCGATTTGTCTCATCTTGAAATCAGAACGCTACGTTCGTTTTCCGAACTTGCTTTTGTGTATCGACGCCAATTCTTGTGATTTTTTCGGCCATATTGATCTTGCTTTGCCATATTATTGTTATTTACATTGCATATATTGTTTGCTTGCTTTATATACTGCTATGTTCCTTTCTTTTCTTTCTCTTGTTGCAGACTTTGTCAATTCTATTTGTTGGAAAGTTATTTTAATTATTTTGCATTTGACCATGGCTACTCGCTACACATTGTGTCTTGGTTGGACCTGGGATAAAAATTGTCATTCCACGTCCGAATAAAGCAGGGTCCATCGATCAACAAACAGCAAGTTGCGTTACGTTTACTTAGTAAATATTGAAGAGCCGAAAAATGGTAACAAGTGATTGCGAAATTGTCTTCAGTCACAATTTCGCAATCACTAAGTAAAATTCTGCTGGTGAAAAAGCTTTCGGTGAACTCTACAAAATAGTTTTCATTAGACTGAGTTTTCCCCATCAAAGCTCTTTGCCGCGAACGAAAAATATCAAGATCGTTTGGTGCAAGATCCGATGGATATTGAAGGTTGTGTTAAATAGACCAGCCGAGTTCCCAAATTGTTCTCTTGCGTTATTCTTGCTGTATGAGGTGGTGCGCTACCATGCAGGAGAACATTTTTTTTCCTATTGATGAGTGCAAGGCGTTTTTGTTTTACTAAACATTTTCTGGACACGTTGCAACTGCTGGACTTATAAATGTACGTTTATTGATTCATTGCGATTTTAAGAACTCAAAATGACTAATTCTCCAAAGATTTCACACGCAGAACTTTACCTTTCTTCCACAGTACTCAGCTTTTGAGGCCGATTGTTGGGATTTATTCTGGTCAGTCCACTGCCTTTTCTTTGCAATAATATCGTATATAACACATTTACATCCCCTTTTATGAGGTATTGTAGGAACGTTTAATTAAGAGGATACTTTTGTCATTACAATGGGTTTCCTAAAACGGAAATTACTTATGATTCAATCTAACAGATGAATAAAGTCATTCTAAAGTTTATACTGTCAAAGTACATCTATAAACGGCTATTAATTAATTGATCTCTGTTTGTGAAAATCCTCGGAACTATGACTTCTGATTGATTGACTCATTTTCTACGGCTTGTCAACCATTTGCCGGATATTTAAAGCCAGAAAATATTTTTAGATTGTAACCATAGATTTTTAGTGGGGGGTGATAATGCTCTTAATGATACAAGGCTTATAAATTAACACATAGCTGGTGGGAGAAAAGGTGGATTTCACTCTTTCTTTCGGTTATAATTAAATCAAAATCGAACAAATACAACAATTTAAGTATCTTAAGAGGACGGAAAGTACGACACTGAATTCTGAAGGCGCATTGCTATAGCGAATGATACATTAAAATGCTAAGTAAAGAAACAAAGAAAAGTGTACTGAAATGTTATTTAATATCAGTCCTCCTATATGGCAGTAAATGCTTGACAATCTCCTCACAGAATGAAATGAGAAGGGGTATTGGGATAGCGAAATGTGCCTTACAAAATCTAAGCAAAGTATTAAGAAACAGGAAAATTTCATTAGAAACAAAAAAAAAGTACTGGAAAGTCTTTATATTAGTCCTCCTATATATCAGTGAATACCGAACAATCTACTCACAGATGAAGAGACGTGAAGCAACAGAAATGTGTTTCTAGAGAAGAACGCTGAGGATATCATGGATTGAACATGAGAAGACAAAGGACATTTAAAATCAGGAAGAGACAGTTGAAATTTCCATGGCACCTAATTAGGAAAGTGTACTAAGAAAATTTGATATTCAAGACATATTGAAGCAAGCGAGATAGAGGAAAACAACGTATAACCTTCCTAGTGACGTTGAGTAAATGGAGGGCAAAGTTTAGGAGAGATAAAAAGGTAACATTTATTATGAGCTGCAATGGACAGGAAATTGTGGAGAGCTATCATCGCCAACGTCATGAATGGACATGTTACACAGAAGAAAAAGCTCTTTAATGAACTATCGTAAAATAACGATTTGAGAATTGCAACAGAAATAAGAGTTTTCAAAAAATAGACATGAAATAATGATGACAATTATTTATATAAGAAATTTTTAAACGATTATTCTTAATATTATTGGTTACAGGAATTTGAATTTCTCTATTTTGTTTCACTATCTTTCTCTATCTCGCTTTCTTCCTCTTTGTCTCTCTTTTTCACTCTCTCTGTTTTTGTTACTCTCTATTTTACTCCCTATCCATCTCTAATTATTCCCCCCTTTCTCTCTATCTCTCTCTTTCTCTCTTTTTATTTTATTGTTTCTTTTTCCTTTTCTTCTCTATTCTTTTCTTTATGCAATTTTATCTGTCTCTTTCTATTTTTCTGCCTTTCGCTTTCTCTCAACAATCCCTATTGTTCTCTTTGCTTTCTCTCGCTTTTACTCTTGCTATCTCTCTTCTTTCTTTCCCTTTCTCTCATTCAATTTATCTCTCCTTCTCGTCCTTCTTCTCTCTCTCTCTCCTTCTTTCTCCTCTCCCTCTCTGTCTCTCTCTATCTATCTATCTATTTCCATCTCTTTCCTTCTATTCCTGAAACACCATTTCCATTTCTCACTTTTTCCCTGTTCCTTTCTCTCCTTTTACCTCCCTCCCTCACCATTCATTAATCTCCACGTATCTTGCTTTCTATTCTCTTCATCCACTACCCCCTTACCCTGGCTTACGGCCACATCAAGCTGAAACACAGATTCCCGTACAACCACCGAAGTTAAGCAAAGTCGAGTCTGGTTAGTACCTCGATAGGTAGCAGCTTGAGAATACCAGATGCTGTAAAATTGGATGTGCAGGTGGTGTAATAGATAATGATTTGGAAATTCTAATCGGAGAGCCAAGTTCCAATTCCCGTTGGGTTCGTTATATTCCCATAGGTGCAAAATGCCCTTGGGAAAGACGTGAATTCACATATTCTCCCCCCACCCCAGCTATGGCTTAATAATAAAACTTGTATCACTAAACAATTATTATCTAAAAAAAAAAAAAATTTTTATAATCTGAAAATATTTTCTGGCTTTAAATAACCTGGAAAGGGTTGATAAGTCGTAAAATAACGAACCAATTAATCAACCAATCCCTCACTCACTCTCACCCTTCTTTCTTTCTTTCTTTTCTTCTTTCTTCCTTTTTCTCTCTTTCTCTCACTCTATCTATCTATCTATCTATCTATCTTTTTTCCTCTTTCATGTTCTCATACTTCTTTTTTTTCCTTTTCACCTTCTTTTCTCTTTCTTTTCTTATATCTCTTCCTCTTCATATTTCTTTTCCTCTCTTAATTTTCTTTTTCGCTTTCTCTTTCTCTCTCTGTCGCCCTCTTTCTCTCTCTCTCTCTCTCTCTCTCTCTCTCTATTTCTCTCTCTCTCTCTCCTTCTAAAGTTATCTCGATTTCTCACAATTACAAATAAATCAATTCAAAACGTTCCAAATCTTATTAACTTAATTGTGCCTGATTACTTTAATTCATTCTTTGATCTACAAGGTCTCTTACTCTTCGGGGTCTGAAATTAACTGTGTGGTTCTATGTAACCTTAACAATGTTGCTATTGAACGTAAGTGAACAATGTCCCAAAGCGTTGACGTAAAGCCTACTTACGCTTTAATATGATTGCCACCCAAAAACAAGCATATATTTTGTGGGCTTCCCAAATGTTAAAGAGAAATAAGAGTTATCGAGTATCAAACAATATCCAATGCTTTACAATCAAATTATCATAGAGCCAGCAACATCTTAGAAAAATATATCAAAAGTAATGGTGTTGGTATTAATGGGCGTTTCCTTATAAGAAACTCTCAGTATTTATTAACTGACCAATCAGTGCTACCGGAGGTTGAAATCTTTCAAAATCTTTCTCTTAAAACAATTTGTCAGGAAAATTGGTTTCTCGAGTCCAGTAACTTTTATTGTTCTTTCCTGCACTGATGGGGTTTTCCTTCCTAACGCTTTCTTCGAAGTGTTGTTGAAGGTCAACATTTTGATTATGTCATTGTTTTCTCTTCGAATTACATGTGCTGATGGGGAAAATCCTCAAGTGACGTTTCTTTTATTTGGTTATTTCGGACATTTCTTGATTTGTGATTTTATTGCGCCAATACACGAGGTTCCAAATAGATCTGCCTATAATAGATTTTAAAACTAAAAACAAATAAATTTATTATAAACAGATCTATGGATAAATCTGCCGATTGCTTTAAGGAACTATTCACGTTTTCATACAATGAATTCACTGAGGAATTATCGAATATTCTGGACTTATTGAAACGACCGACCAGACAGTAAGTGGTGTATGAAACAAAAGAATTTTTCATTTCTCATTAATCTGGACAATAAACAAAGTATTAGGAAATCGGGATATTTCATTAGAAACAAAGAAAGGTGCGCTGAACTGCTATGTTATATCAGTCCACCTAATATGGCGGCGAATTTCCTTACAGATGTAGAGAATACTTGATTCAACAGAGATGTAGTTCTACAAAAGGATGCTGGGCCTACCATACATGAAACGTGTAAGAGACGAGGAACTTTTAAGGAAAATGGAGACTAAAAGAAAACTTATTTTCGAGATCACTTATCTTCGAGTATCTGTTGAAACTCCAAGGACACATAAGAAAAGATGGCTTGGAAAATTTGACATACACAAGCTATATTGTAGGCAAGAGGAGCAGAGAGAAGCAGTGAGTAAGCTACCTAAGAAGCTTTTGTAAATGGATGACAGAAGAGAGACTGGGAGGAAAATTAAAAAGATTGATTAATTGATTCGTTTCCTACGGCTTATCAACCATTTGCTGGTTATTTAAAGCCAGAATATATTTTCTGTTTTTAAAATTTTTTTTATTTCATTTTAGAAATAATAATGATCTAGTGATACAAATCTTACTAATTAACACATAGCTGGGGGAGAAGATGTGGATTCATACTTTTCCCAAGTGTATTTGCGCGTAAGTGTATATAACGAATCCAAGCGGAATTGGAAATCGGCTCTCCGATTAACAGTTCCGAGCCATTATCGATTACACCAATCGCACATCCAAGTATACAGCAGCTGGTATTCCCAAGCAGTCGCCCATCTAGATAATGACAAGGCTTGGCGTTGCTTAACTTCGGTGATCGTACAGGAACCGGTGTTTTAATGTGATGTGGTCATAACTCGCACAAAAAAAAACCATTGCTAAGAGCTTCAAAGGAGGATTTTTTTGTGGAGAGTTATAATCTGAAGGAGCACGACATAGAAGAAAAAGAAGTAGGTAACAATAGGCAGGGGTCGATACAAAAATAAAGATGGGGATATTCGTCCGAATCATTCATGGATTGATGACAACAGATCAGAATATCTGACAGCACTTATGTCGTGGAAAGTTGTCAGTAGTAACGGATCGATATTTCGAAGGGAAAGCTGAAGACATCATTATGAATGTCAATAAATGTAAAAATTAATCAATCGTTCACATCACAAGAGCAGATTTCAATTTGAATGAAATACGCAAAATGTAGAAAGATCGATCGGTAAAAATCAATGTGGTCTTTCAAAGAATCAGGTTGATTTGTAGTCATCTGATTCTTATCTACATAACCCCCACTTGACCTTTGCTTACCAGAATGAGATAAAAAGAAAGAAAGAAAGAGGCAGAACGAGAACCTAAGAGAAAGAAATAAGGTTAGTAAAATTATATTGCGCTGAACTTCCAAATAAGCAAGGTTTGTCTGCTTCGAAAAACCCCGTCTTCTACTTGAACCTGATTGTCGACCACTGCCATCAGTTTGAAACTAAGCCAGCTACTTCTTTCCATTTAGTTCTCGTTCTACTAAGTTTTTTAGCAAGAGAAATAAATGCTAAAAAATAAGGAAAAGCGAACATAAAAAAATACCTTCACTTTATTGGATTCATTTTATTTTGTTCTTTTATCATTTCACCCCATTGAAGGAATAAAGCCACTATGACACAAGGGGTTACTGAGTGTAAAAGAATATGAGAAAAAAGAAAAACCTTATTAAAGAGAGAGGGCAAAATAAGAAAACTGGAATTAAGAAAACAAAAAATAACGATTTAACAATTTAAATTTTTTAAGATCAACGTTGACTGGAAAGCAAGAGGCTAGAAGAGACTTCTACAAACGAAAAGTGCGAGAGAAGAAACTGTTAGCATAGAATGTATGGTTACATCTAGTAATTTCAACTGTAAAATTATGAAACCTAACTGCCAATCTAGTCTTGCCCTTAAATTCATGGTACCAGAGAGGAACGCTCATCTCAAAAATTACTATGAAAATATTTATAGAAAAAGGCACAGGGAAGCCACATTATGGCGGTGGGAAAAACTAATGCCGAAATGTCAGATCAGGGCCGATAATATTGCAGATACTTATTTCGATTTTGTCTCTAAATAGAAATCTCAGCCAGAAACACGAGAGCTGATGTGGGAGCAATATTCAATTTATGAACGTTCGGGAGACTTATAAATGTGTAAGATAGATTCTGGAGAGAAAAATTGTGAACTAAATTTAACAGCAGCAGAGCTAGCAATTGATTCAATATTATCTTTCCAGTTCATGTCAGCGAGAAACGTTAGCCCGAGAAGACGCAATGAGACACCCCACCCTTACGAGGTTAGCATCAGCTAGATTAATGGAATGCAAAATGGATTCTCTAAAAGCAGCTTTTCTCAATCTTTTTTTTTTTTTTTTATCCATGGACCACTTTTACTCTTAATTTATTTTGGTGAACACCTATAACAGTTCAATGAATAAAAGCTTATTTTATTTTTTTTACTAATAGATAAGTTTATGAATCTTACTTATTATAAAACGCAGATTTTGTGTGTGTGTGTGTGTATGGGTGGGTGTTTGTCTGTCTGTACGTTTATATATTGGATCGGATTTCCTACATTTATCAACTGATTTCAATAAAACTTCACAGGACTGCGAAAAATTACCTTGCGGTTGTTCTGACAGCGCCAAAAATTGGAAAAACACAATTGTTTTTGCACGAAATCAATTTGAAAACACAATTAAGTCGCCAGAATGAAAGGGGGACAACTCATATCGAGTTATACTTATTATAAAACCCAGGTTGTTTATGTGTGTGTGTGTGTTTGTTTCTATATGGGATCGGATTTCCTACATTTTTCAACCGATTTCAACATAACTTCACTTTTTTTTGGCAGGTAGTGTTTCTTATTGTCTTGCACACTTTTTTCTTTATTTTTACATTCAGAATGCTTTAAAAATTCCATTTACAAGACAATTGTTTATAATAAAATTCTATTCAATCGGTAGACTCATAACGATTGAAAACAATGTTTTTGTTTGAGTTTGGGTTTGACCAATTCGTTAAAAAAAACAAAAAAATACAAAATAAAACAAAAAAAACTTATTAAGACATGCGTGTCCGTCAACCTTAAACAATAATCTTTGTCAATTTTATTTTTCAGTCTTTATGATGGTCGATACTTGATCTATCTCTTACTGCTACATCCCCGGGCAACGCCGGGCTCTACTGCTAGTCATTATATAAATTTCCTTTATATATATATATAATTCTTTCGTTATATATCCTTTTCAGTTTTTATTCAACTTTTACAATCAAAATATCCAATAGAGTAAAAGGTAAGCTAACTTCCATTGCTTGATCTCGTTTTCTGCTATTTTGAGAGTTGTTTTTCTGTTTTTATATTTTGTTATGGCGTAGATTACCGTAGAAATTCAAATTCTCAATTATAACAAGTGTTCTGAAGTGAAATTGCTTTATGAACCACTAAAATATTACCAGGGACCGTCAATTTGCTTTTTTTGTGTACACCCCCAGAAATGTTAAATGTATCCCCTGATTCCATATTGACCCCGTTTGAGAACCACTGCTCAAAGACGATTAAAAGAGAGCACTTTTGCTTTGGAGGTGTCCAAAATTAACAAGCCATTTCTTGCCCCAGTTAACAACAGATTCTAAGTCATTTTTTTAGATTACCTTTGAGATATCTTTCCGTAGATGATAGAGAAGGGTAAAAGCCTTGAATTTCAAATGCTGAATTTCAAGACTGGTGAGATTCGATTCCTATAATCTTCCAAAAAGCTGGGATAATTTAAAATTCAAAGAATTTTTTGACAAGGATATTTTGAGAAAAGCACCAAGTAACCTACATAACTTGCTCGTTCAATTGAATATTAAAACAGGAAATAGGAGGGATAAGATGTAGAATAAATATTGCTTAAAGCTACAAAGGATAGGAAGTTGCGGAGAGCCATGATCTCCCGCTTCTTGAAGGAATACAGAAGATGGAAGAAGAAGAAGAATCCACATGTGCTAAAAGGGCGAAACAAAGAAGAGGAAAATTCAGTTTTTACCCCCTGTGTCAGTGTCCGTGTCCAGGTCAAAGCTCTAATTTTGAATGCAGATTGTTCTACTCACTTTGACGATTGGCGTAACATATTCTTCCTCTCCATTTGGGTGTTTACTGGGTTAAATAAATATTATTCCCTCTTTTTCGTTGTCATGATCTTTCATAATGTAGACGATCATGGATCTCCACAATTTCCTTTACTTTAATATCTGCAAATTTTACACAGCCATGACTGATGTTGAGAAAGATATTGGAACGTTTTTCCGTGCTGCCATCTCCATGATTTTGAGTTTTTCTTCTCCTAGACCAGTGAATAACCAAGGCTAGAGAGTCGCCTGTTCTGTTATTTATCCCATAACTAGGAGAAGTTTAATGCATTTCCTTATAAACAAATAGTTTGAACTCGGTTTGTTGATTTTATTTTCCGCGCTAAAACACGATAGTGAACCGGATGGTGATGAAACTTCATGCTGCTACATAAAACGCAGAGGCCCAACTTCACCAGCACCGATAAAAAAAGATAGATTCTTCTATATATGTTCTTAAAAACTTAGAATATTGCTGTCACATATTGCTATTTACCTAGAACACCTTGATAAAATCCAAAGAAGAATCAGCAATATGATCGATCCTGATCTGGCGGCTGGAACTGAGTCACTTTCCCACCGCCGTAAGATTGTCTCTCGGAGTCTTCACTGTAAAAAAAATTCATGGTAATTTTTCGGATGAGCTTTTCTCTCTGGTAGCTAGACATTCTGAATTTAAGTACAATACTAGAATGGCGTCTAGATCTCACCAATTTACAACTGAGCAGGCTAGATGTAGCCGTAAATTCGATGCTAACAGTTTCTTCTCTTGCGCTTCTCGATTGTGGAACTCCCCTTCGTCTCCATGCTTTCCAGCCAACTTCAATCTGTAAAAATTGAAATGCAATATCAATCGCTATCTACTGTCCTCCTGATCATTTTTCCTCTTCCTGTTCATTATTAATGTTCAGTTATGTGCCATGCGTGATACACGCTTAGTCGATCATGTATCTTTCGATACTTAGCTGACGAGGCAGATTTTTTTCCCGCAGTAGGTTGCCATTTCTTTCTGCGGTAGACCAGTTGCCAAGCCTGTCCTGCTACTTACCAATAGCTTAAGAAGAGGATGTATACGTTTCCCAAGGGTAGCACGTAAGTGAATGTAATATATTCGACTGGAATTCGAACTCGGCTATCCGATTCCTCAATCCGAGCCGCTATCTATTACTCTACCGAACTGTCCCTAATTCTTCCACACTCTATAACTTCTTTTGTCTTAGTGGCTTTACTGCCTTACATGGAGTGATACCGATTAAAAAAATGTAAATGCACAGAACTACTTTTTTCTGAAGTCGAAATGAATGAAAAATCATTCATTTCTACTTTGGCGACGTGGGACTTTTTTTTTCCTGAAGTTCCCGGTGCATTACGATTTATCTACGATTATATTCGCCAAATCTACAGCATTTGATATTATAATTATCTGTCCACTCTTATTATGAATAAACTTACATCAGACAGCAGTTTTTTTTTTGTTTTTTGTTTTTTTGTTTGCTTTTTCTTTTCTTTTCGCCTTCCCTGAGTGCATTTACATTAGAATAAATATACAATATTAATCTTTATATCGATACGCTTCGCCATATCTATGAATTCCCAAACGTACTGTATCCAATTTATCACTATTATAATTTGTTTGCACTCATTACGTTTTCACACTAACAGTACTCGGTAGCCTATTCTGGAGATCAAGTACCGTCAAGTCTCTCCAATACGCACTTTCTA